CTCTGCGTTGCAGCCCCATCTCTACAACTGCCTGTTGCTTTTTATGCAAACTAAGTATCATTCTTCTGTGTTTGTAACTCATCCCTACATTTTTATGTATATTTAACATCTTATCCCAATTAACATTGTTAAATGCTTTTTATAAATCTACAAATCCTATGTATGCTATAAGTCGTGACAAACTAAAACATTTGCCCAACTTTCAGGTATTATGTGACATTAAAGAATCATCCCCCACCTTCAATGTAATGATAATGACTCATGGATCAGTCATCTAACTTTGTTTATCTCAGCTGAAGCAACTAGCAAGTGCGCTTTGGCCGTCGCCGACTTAACGAGCCCTTAACCATGAAAACGTATTGATAAGTAAATTGGTTTAGTTTGTTTAAAGATTTACCTAGCGGAATGACCTAGAGGTTTAAACCACTACTTAGCATTAAAAAAAAAAGGAAAACGGTTCGATTCCAGGTTCGTCTACCCTGGTCCAAGTTTTTCTTGTATTTGATTATTTGGACAAATTCTGGAGCAGTAATATTCCACAGATAAACTTTTATTCTCTGTTATCTTCATTTCGTCCATCTCATATTTCTCATCCCAACCACCACCCACCCATTCCCACGATTCCTAATTCCTAAATGGAGGCTGAAGAGGGTCATCCGTCCTACCTTCCGGAGTAGTTTAGACGGACTTCTTGTCGACTAGCATTAATAGCTGGTGTGAATGAAAATGATTGAAGGGTGTGCGTAATTCGCTACATATCATCTCGTTAGCTCAGGATGAACCAATGGACTAGTATTGTCAAATTAAAGACCCTTGTTGCGTTAAAGCTTTGTATTTTCAAAAACACAACACTATGTACAAAAACTTAATGTATAAAACCTTAACCTACACATAATCTTGTTTATGTGCAGATTTCCCAAAATTATATTCCTTGAATTACAAACCCGATACGAGAGCGCCTACTCGTCATGAAAGAAGCACAAGTACTTCTCTTTCTGAAATTCTTTTCGAAAACTGCCTGCCTCCACCTTGAACCTTTTTTTATTGCCACTTGTTTTCAAGTTTCGATCTGCCTGCATATAACCCATAATGTCCCAAAGAGAAAGTTAGTAGGTATAATCCCAGCCCTTCTAAATGTATATTTTTCAAAAAGGAACAGACAACAGCTACACAGTATTAAATTATTTTTTCTAGGAAATCTGAACAAAGGGGAAGCAATAGTTCATTTGCTCCCATTAGAGCCACCACTTGGCGCTGAGAAAGGAATAGTATCGCCCAGCGAGAATAATGACCTGCAGCCAGCTTACAGGAAATATAAAGAATATCTTCATTCAGATATTGTTATCATTTTGGCAAAGCAGCAGTTTTATTGACGGTTTATTCTGATGTTTTTAATGTTATACTTCTCACTGTGAAGTTACGTTACGTTAGTTTTTTCCCTATATTCAATTTTTTACGCCCACCCACTGCGCCTTCTTCTTTTTCGCCCGTGCCTAATTAAGAAACAGCTTCTTTAAAATAATTTTTACATATACTTATTTATATTTAAAGGTTGTTAAAGGTGTAACATAGACAGTGGGAGCGACGGAAAAGAAAAGGTTAGAAGCGTTCGAAATGTGGTGTTATAGGCGGATGATGAGGATATCGTGGGTAGAAAAGGTTAGAAATGAAGAGGTATTGGAAAGAATAGGAGAACAGAGGACTC